TGCAGCGAAAGTCGGCTGTGTAGATTGTTGTTTGGGGACTCGAGGTTTTCCGGTTTTGGGACTCAACGATCTGAATTTTCTACGCTTCAGATAGCTTTCAAGAAAAAATCTGCGGATCACTGCTGCGATCCGGATTGGGCCGTCAGGGCTTAGGGTTTAGGGTTTGTGATGACCGCACATCCTCCTTAAACCCGACAGCTTAGGCCGTTTACCTTTTTACCCCTAAACCCAAACCTTTGAAACCTCATCCTTGAAGCCTTATCCTTAACCACAATCCGAATCCTAAAGCAAAGCACCTTTTGAAACCTCATCCTTGCAGCCTAATCATTAATCCTTAGCCAAAATCCGAATCCTAAAGCACATAGCACCTCAGTGTCTGCGTTAGGTTCGCGTATCGGAGCGGCGCCAGGCCTTCTCGACCCCCACATCGGCCATCGCCACCCTGAATCGATCACTCTTAAGTCGACTGTTTAGCTTTCAGATCTTACACTTAATATAGGGACCTTCATAATTAGAATAGGGTTTTGGGGCCGGGCCCATTATAGCGCAATTACAGGGAAGCCCCCCTGGCAATTATTGTGGCCCCTATATTGACCCCATAAAGTTGGACATCGGATTAAGGCCAACTAGTGCTGGGATTCCTTCTACATTACTCCTCAGGATTGAGGCTATTGGGTTTCCAAAACCCTAAACCCTAAACCCTAAACCCAACTTTTGGGCCTCTACTTTGTGGAGCGCAGGGTCCAGAGATTCTGAGATAGTTTTGGGGTTCTGGGAGCACACGACACATGGAACAATGATGCGCAAAGGGCATGGTGGTTTGGAGGGGTCCTGCAAGTGACTAAGACCATTTGCAACTCTACTGTTGTCGTTATTCTCACTATTCAATTCAGACTATTCAGTACCACCCGCCGCATAGTAGCTGTTGCCACTACTATTGCGCAACGACCGTTGTGGTTCCTGTTGTTCTGCTGTCAGCTCTTCCCTTGAGGGTCCGAGTTAAACCAAATTGCTATAGTGGCCTTAATAATTAGAACAGGGTTCTGGAGCCCATTATACTATAGAACCCCCCGCAAAATAGTAGATCAAAAGCTCCAAGTCGTGCAGAAGACCTGCAAAAATCAATTCAGTATCAGATAGCTCCTTCTTCAGCTCTGAAGGCTCAAGACAAGACCATTCGGATGTAGCCCGTTTCGGATTACGGCCCTAAACCCCTGAACCCCAAACCCTGAACCCTAAACCCTGAGCCTTATGACCTAAACTCTCGCCTGTCTGACACGAAGGTGATCACGCCATTCATCTCCTGAGCAGGCTGGGGATTGGACGGAACGCTGAACCCGAAGCCGTTTCGGATGAGGACGGCTTTAGTGTTCTTTTTTGGGGTTTAGGGTTCAAGGTCCGCGTTTAAGGGCTGGGGTTAGTGTGGATTTACATGCGGACTTTGAAGCTCACGAATGCACGGACCTCTTTTGTACCAGGTCTGCTGATGGCAAGCTTGTGCGGTTCTGAGAGTGTGAGTCACGAGGCTTAGCATGAAGACTGGGGCTGAGACCTCATGTGACCAAAAGGGTTTAGGGATTAGGAGTACCCAGAAGTGAAAAGCATGGATTGAAAAGGACGCCTTTTACCAGGACAAGTCATGTATGGGGGGATCAAGTCTCGGTCGCAGAACAGCTCCCCAGGCTGCAGGAAACATAACATAATGAGAATAGGGTTTTGGGGTATATTGTACCGTATACCATGACTCATGACTATATAACAAGGAACCCCCAGACTTGATAGGCATTTAGGAACCTAGGCGTCATAAGAATCAGTTACACCCCGTCCGAGGCATGGGAAGAGGCAAAGCTATGTGCGGGCGCACGTCGTCGAAATCATCAATCCTTCAAATCCCCTGAAGCAAACGAGAGGTTCGTTGCTGCAACGAACACTGAACACTTGCACGAAAAATGGCGCTTATCTGGGCCGAAGAAACCTCCAACAGAATGCTAACAGAATACACTAGCACTAGCATGGGTAAGCCATCAACGACACCAAAACACAGTCACAATGAGGAGATGGAGTCATGGCAGCTGCAAACAAGCAGTAGCTGAAGAGGAGTGATGGTGGTAGTAGTAGCAGCAGTAGCAGTAGCAGTAGCAGTAGCGGCCCCAACAGACAGACCAGGGGCAGGTGGGAATTGAGGGCGTAAGCCCTAAACCCTAAAAGGCAATATTGGGAAACCGTAAGCCCTAGACATCCCTAAACCCCTAAGCCTCAGACCCCAAATCCTAAACCCTAAACCCCAAACCCCAAACCCCTAAACCCTAAACCCCAAAGCCCCTAAACCCTAAACCCTAAACCCCTTAACCCCTTAAACCCCAAACCCCAAACCCCTAAACCCTAAACCCCAAACCCCAACCCCAAACCCCTAAACCCTAAACCCCAAAGCTCCTAAACCCTAAACCCCTTAACCCCTTAAACCCCAAACCCCAAACCCCTAAACCCTAAACCCCTTAACCAATTAAACCCCAAACCCCAAACCCCTAAACCCTAAACCCCTTAACCAATTAAACCCCAAACCCCAAACCCCTAAACCCTAAACCCCTTAACCAATTAAACCCCAAACCCCAAACCCCTAAACCCTAAACCCTAAACCCCTTAACCCCTTAAACCCCAAACCCCAAACCCCTAAACCCTAAACCCCTAAGCTCCTTAAACCCCAAACCCCTAAACCCTAAACCCCAAACCCCTAAGCTCCTTAAACCCCAAACCCCTAAACCCTAAACCCCAAACCCCTAAGCTCCTTAAACCCCAAACCCCTAAACCCTAAACCCCAAACCCCTAAACCCCTAAACCCTAAACCCCAAACCCCTAAGCTCCTTAAACCCCAAACCCCTAAACCCTAAACCCCAAACCCCTAAGCTCCTTAAACCCCAAACCCCTAAGCTCCTTAAACCCCTCAAGACTGGGCCACCCGGCCATGCCAGGTTTCAGCTCGGCCATGGTGGTGGGGATCGACTCGAAGACGTACTCCTCCTGCTACTGGGTTTAGGGGTTAAGGGTTTAGGGGCTTAGGGGTTTAGGGTTTAGGGGTTAGGGGTTTAAGGGGTTAAGGGGTTTAGGGTTTAGGGTTTAGGGCATTTCTACTACTGCTGCTACCACTACTACCAACACTGCTACAGCCACAGCCACTGCCACTGCCACTAACACTACCACAACCACTGCAAACTGCCCACTGCCCGCTGCCACTTCGAGTGTTACTGCTGCTCCGCCGAAATCATGTCTCTATTGCCAAACATTCAGAAATGGGAAAGTAGACCGGTGACGACGATCGTGACGAACATACTGGCGCTGTCGAACAAGACGCTTATCATTAACTATATAATGTAACTGCGCATGTGGTGATGATGTTGATGGTGCTGATGACTGCGACACTGTTCATGATCACTAAGACAATGAAGAAGATGGTGTCAGGTCGAAAAGCTTTGACTTCTACTTAATTCTTGCCGTGACTGAGGTTTCGCATCTGGTGTGCTGCACTTGGTGATGAGGCTGGGCTCAGACTGCCTTGACATGCTCAGGCACTCCGCACGTTGCTTCAGAGTGGCGGGACAGACATTGACCAAATTCCAGGCATGCAAGTAAGTTCCAAACTTGGAACAGTGATCAAACGTCGGCAGTGATAGTAACCGCAGCACCAGGAGTCGTTGTGGAGTCACAATCGCACTCGCCTTCGTGGTCATTCGCTCTACGAGTAGTTGCCGTAGCATCTCGCTGCAAGCTGCTATCTACGGGATTCAACTAACTTGGTTCGCTATTTCGCTGCCGATGTTCCTGCAGGTTTAAGAGTTTGTACTTAGAGCTTGGGCTTTGCGATCCTTCCTAGCCCTGGGTTCATCCAGGCCAGAGGCCATGTGTTCTCAAATCCGAAACCCCTAGCCCGAGATATCTTCTGGCCAGCAACCACAGCTGGAAAGTCGGACCAACCACCTGTTACTCTCCCCCTATCCCAGAATTCGGACTCGCTTGCCAAAAGCATCCAAACTTTTCTCTTGAATGAGGTAATTTAAGCTGTTACCCAAGTCATGAAGACTGCATGTTAGCACGTCCAATTTGAAGACCGCCGAATTCTAAACCACACAGACGGGACCCTCCTCATCCTCCGCGC